TTGAGATGATTAATGACTCACATTCCATTATTCCAAGTGAGAAACGGACATCACAGTTCGCCATAACTAAATTTTCATAACCTAAATTGATTACGTTACATTTCTTCCTACATCCTCTCTTAAGAATTTTTAACCGTGAATGTGTCTTACCTACATTCCCAATATTTAAAACTGGGCTTTCAAGAGATTCTAGAGAATTCGAGGACTAAGAACAGTGAAACTTCTGTACGTTCAGCAGCTCCCAAAGCAACACAGAATTACCCAGGAACACTGTTCTGTGCTTCAGCATAATTCAGCTTCTATATTTCCTAATGGCTCCAATAGTGACCCTCCATTCCCATCAAACATTTGGCCTCCCCTTTCTCTACGTGCCCTCCATTCATAGATTATACTCTCAGCTCTTTCTGAGTATCGTAAAAGCCAGCAGACGGACACTCCTGATCTCCTGAACATGAAACCCAGCACTCTCATGTGTCTCATGTGATCGGCTCCTCTCGGCGCGGTGACTCCAAAGGCATCTCATTTAAATAATTACCATTTTTTCCCTTCTGTAACAAAGTGTTTCTTTCCATTGTGCCTTCCCATGAGCATTTAAATGTAATTTATGGTCCAGCCACAGATTTTAATACACACAAATGCCACAACCTCCTTCTAGTCCTAGAGACCTGATTAATTCTTCTTTGGGGATGAGCACACCCAGGAAACACATCCCCATTCACATAAACACGGGCACAGCGATGACGGGTTCTTCTGTGAGCGAGAGTTTACAGCATCCTCCCTCCAACTCCAACGGGCCCCTGAAGACCAAGACACGCTCTTTCACACCTGTGCAAGCTCCGGCCCAGCGACGGCCTGCTGAGGAATGGCTCACCTGGGTCTGGGTGCTGGGTTCATCTCTTCCCCTCTCCTGTCCCAAAGCAGGTCCATCACCCTGCTCAGGTCTGAAAAGGAGGGTCCAGGTTTGTCTGGCCATCCGACTTTTTCAATGTATAGAAGATCTCCTGTTACCTACTGTATTCATTTTATATAACAAAATACCACATATTGAATGGCTTACAACACAAAACCGATTTCCTCACAGTTGTGGAGGATGGAAGCCTAAGATCGAGCTGCCAGCTGGTGGGTTTCCTCTGAGGTCTCGCTCCCTGGTGTGCAGACGGTGCCTTCCTGCTGCTCTGTGGTAACATGACCATCCGTCGGGGCGTGTGCACCCTCCCTCCTGCTTCCCCTTCTTATAACAACAGTCAGATTGCATTAGGGCCCCACTCCAGAAATCTCACTTTAACTTATTCATCTCTTTAAAAGACACTCATCCAGGTATGATTTCATTCTGAACGACCAAGGGTTGGGACTTCAACGCATGAATTTAGGAGGGACACAGTCTCCCATAGCAGCCTCCTTCAGGAAGGTCAAATATCCTCCTTCTCCTCCCTGTGAAAACCCTGAAGGGGCAGGGAAAGGGCGTCCAAACTGCACACTCGTAGAGGGGAAAACGGCTTCATCCGTAATTGTACATCTGTGGTAAAAAGGCGGGATTCAAAGGGATGGAAGATGGGAGTACGGGACATTGGAAGACAAAGTGCCACACAACACAGCCTTCGAAACACACCACGGTCACGTTAAGTTTAAATAGAGTGACCACATTTGCCAGGAAAGGTAAATATTTACACTTTTGAGGAAACAGTAATTTGTGTTTCTGATAACGATCTGGCCTTGGATTTTCCCTCCCCTCATAAGCAATGACAGAATTGGCAGAAATATGCAAAATATTTGTTCTCAGATATGAGACACCCACAGAGGGCCCCCTGTGTCCTTCCCTGAGAACTGATCGGCTCGTGCATCTGAAGAAATGACCAAAGACCAGGAGAGAACCACACAGAAGCATCGGAGGGCCAGCACCTGGGGCTCTCATGGGGTCAGGAATAGCGTCTGCCCCCAATAGATGGACTAAGTAAAAAGTACCCTAATTCACAAGGGTTTTACACAGCACAGAAGAAAGAGTTACCCTAGTTCAACTGTTGGTCTTGTGAACCCAGGAACGCTGAGACAGATCTCGGTTAATTTAGCAAGTTTCCTTTGCCAGGGTTGAGGACACGCCTGTGACACGGCCTCAGGAAGTCCTGATGACATGTGCCCAGGGTGGTCGGACACAACTTGATTGACGCACTTCAGGGAGACATGAGACACCAGTGAATATAAGTAAGAAGGACATTAGTTCCACCCAGAAAGGCTGAGCCAACTCAAAGCAAGTCCTCCCCACTTAGGGCTTCCAGGTCACAGGTAGGTGAGAGACAGATGGTTGCATTCTTTTGAGTTTCTGATAAGTGTTTGCAGAGGAGGCCTTCAGAATATGCGTCTATCTCTGTGACTGGAGGGACAGCTTTAAATAGACTGGGAGGCAGATTTTCCCTGAGTGGTTCCCAGCTTGACGGGGCCCAGAATATTTTCCTTTCACAATCTGGTAACTTCAAACAAAACTTCAAAACCAAAACAAAATGAAACAACAAGAAAGAGAATAAGACATGGGTACTTATTGAGACGAGAAAAACATTCAGTCCGTAAGGAGAGTATTGGCAGTGTCTACCTCCACATGGCAACGGAGTAAGCAATGTGACCCACAGAAAGGAGCAGTATTAACCCACAGAGCGACCGAGAATAACACGCCTGATGCGAGGGCATTGAACACATCATTGTATTTTGCAGATTCAGAAAGCAACAGAAAAGATTGACGGTGGTAAAAGAGACAGAGCCCTGCTTCCCTCTCCCTTTTCCCTTCCAGATAAGCCCTCACAGCCAGGACCCTCAGCCTTATCCCGCAGCGCAGCAGCTGCCATCCTGTCCAGGCCCACCCTCTGCCCCGCCCTGGGACTGTTACATCATTCCCTCCCAGAATCCAGGTGCCCCCACGTGTGGTGCAGGAGCCTGGGGGGAGGTGCTTTGCTCTATGTCAGGGTCGCCCTGGGAGGGACGCAGCCACCGCAGCTGGTGGGGGCCTGGCTTCCCCAAGGACAGTCCTTTCCTTTCCCATTCTCTTTGGATGTCTATCCCTGGGCTGGGGCATGAGGCCAGCAGAGGCGCCAGTCACCCTTAGGGCCCCTGTCTTGCTGCTGGGGCTCTGGGCACTCCTGGCTCCAGTCTGGTGTTCTCAAGGCCGTCCCTTGTGGCACTACGCATCCTCTGAGGTGGTGATTCCCAGGAAGGAGACCCACCATGGCAAAGGCGTTCAGTTTCCCGGCTGGCTGTCCTACAGCCTGCGTTTTGGGGGTCAAAGACACGTCGTTCACATGCGGAGAAAACACCTTCTTTGGCCCAGACATCTGCTGATGACAACTCAGGATGACCAAGGAGCCTTGCAGGTGGATGACCCCTACATCCCTCCAGACTGCTACTACCTCGGCTACCTGGAGGAGGTGCCTCTGTCCATGGTCACCGTCGACACGTGCTATGGGGGCCTCAGAGGCATCATGAAGCTGGACGACCTTGCCTACGAAATCAAACCCCTCCAGGATTCCCGCAGGTTTGAACATGTTGTTTCTCAGATAGTGGCCGAGCCCAGTGCAACGGGGCCCACATTTAGAGATGGTGACAATGAGGAGACAGACCCCCTGTTCTCTGAAGCAAATGACAGCATGAATCCCAGGTTATCTCCTTCGCTGTATAGTTCTCATAGAGGCAATATAAAAGGCCACGTTCAATGTTCCAACTCATATTATCGTATATATGGCAATATTACAACTTGTTACACAGAGGTGGTCCAGATGTTCAGTGTCATTGACAGCATTGTTCAAAATATTGATCTGCGGTACTATATTTATCTTTTGACCATATATAATAATCATGACCCAGCTCCTGTGAATCAGTATCTAGTTCATAGTGCGATGTTTACCTATTTTAAAAGAACCTTTTTTGATACTTTTCATGTTCATTCATCCACACTACTTATTAAAGAAGCGCCACATGAATCTAACTATGAACCACAAAGATACAGCTTCTGTTCACATTTAGGCCTTATACACATTGGTACTCTAGACAGACATTATTTATTGGTAGCCATCATAACAACCCATTCACTGATGAGAAGTATGGGTGTGGCTTTTGATTATAAATACTGCACATGTCAGAGAAGGACCTCCTGCATTATGCAGCGATATCCTGAGATGACAGATGCGTTCAGTAACTGTTCATATGGACATTTACAAAATTGTTTTGTAAATTCAGCCTGGTGCATTTTCAAAGCACTCGCTCCAGTGTATAACGAAACCATGACAACGGTTCTCTGTGGAAACCTCATCGTGGAAGGGAAGGAGGAATGTGACTGTGGCTCCTTCAAGCAGTGTTATGCCAGTCATTGCTGCCAAAGGGACTGTCACTTCACACCGGGGAACATCTGTCATCTAGGAGACTGCTGTACAAACTGCAGCTTCTCCCCACTAGGGACTCTCTGCAGACCTATCCAAAATATATGTGACCTTCCAGAGTACTGTCATGGGACCACCTTGACATGCCCCCAGACTTTTATTTGCAAGATGGAACCCCGTGCACTGAAGAAGGCTACTGCTATCATGGGAACTGCACTGACCGCAATGTGCTCTGCAAGGCGATCTTTGGTGTCAGTGCTGAGGATGCTCCTGAGGACTGCTATGACATCAATTTTGAAAATCACCGATTCGGACATTGTACTCGAGAACGAACAGCTATCGCCTATGAGGCTTGTGCATTAATAGATAAGTTTTGTGGAAGACTGCAGTGTACTAACGTGACCCATCTTCCCCGGATGGAAGAAAGGCAAATGTGCATTCTGTTGGAAAAATATTATAGGTAGTTTGAGCAAAAAATCTAATGCTGTGTGAACTTTTAGAATGACACATATTTTAACAAAGAACGTGACCAATCGAGGTCATGTTGAAGTCAGGTAAACACTATTTAGAGCAACAACAACATCAAAAACACAAGCCAACAGTTCACCAAGAGAAACCATGATTAACCCCATGGAAATGGTCTTCCAGGGGCATCAGCACTTAAATCCTCGAAATCTGCATGCCTCAGCACCTGTTGTCTTGAGCTGCCCTCCTGTGTGTTCTAATCACTCCTGACCACGGGGCCTGCACTGTGGGAAATCCGAGCTGTGCCAGGTGGAGGCAGCAGGGCAATTGCTACCAGGTTGCTGGTGTGGATGCCGAGGCCGCCCGAGCAGGTATAAACTCCCACCTGTGGGCCAGGGAAGATTGCACATGAGACATGTCCTGGGCATAGGGTGAGGGAGAGCCGTGGGGGCTCTGGGTTCTGAGGAGGGTTCTGGCCTGGCAGGGACAAGACCAACCAGCATGTGAGGCCAGGCTGGAGTCTGGACCTCTGAGGTTGCAAGGGTCATGGGCTGCTTGGTCCAAGGGGGTGTCCTGGTTCTCAGTGGGGTAGTTTCAAACGTTCCTTCTTCCTCCAATCCCCCTCCTCCTCTGTTTCTGGGGTGGGTCCACTCCCAGAGTCTGCAACTCTGCATCCGTCCTGGGCATTGATCTTCCAATTCCATCCTCTTCTCTTCTGCTGTGTCTAAGCTGCTGTGAAGCCACCTGCTGTAATTTACTCTTGTATATTTAATATTGTACCATACATCTGTTCTGTTCTTTTCATCATAAATGCTTCATTTCATGCTCAGCATCTGAGAACACAAGGCCTTGTCAGCTGTCACCTCCTTCTATTCTCTGTTTCCTTCCTCCTATCCCCATGTTTGCCCATCATGTCCAGTCTCCTGCCATCCTGAACGCTTCTGATGGAAAGTCTGAAATGTCATGAGCATTGTGAAGATTCTTTGTAATATGACTTTGTTCCAGGCAGGAATTCTCCCTCACCCACCCCTGGAAGCCAAGTATAGGAAGATTGCATGCTCAATCAAAGACTGAGCTAACTTAACACTGGCTTTGGTTTGAAGGTTTCTCCAATCCCCAGGGCACAGGATTTCAGGGAGTTTAGGTGAGAGTCTGGGTGTTACCCTTCAGGAGGTTGTAAAGTCCATTTCACCTAGTCTACGCCACAGACTATGGAAACTATATATATATATAGTTCTGTCATACAGATATGTGTGTGTGTATATATATAGTTCTGTCCCTCTAGAGAACCCTAATATGTGTATATATATCATATTATATACATGTATATACATACATATATCATATTATATATCATATTATATATATAGGAGTTTATTAATGAGTATTAAACTCACAGAATCACAAGGTCTCCCAGTAGGCCACTAGCAAGCTGAGGAGCAAGGAACCCAGTCCGAGTCTCAAACTTGAAAAACTTGGAGTCTGATGTTTGAGGGCAGGAAGCATCCAGCACAGGAGAAAGATGTTGGCTGGGAGGCTAAGCCAGTCTAGTCTTTTCATGTTTTCTGCCTGCTTTATATCCTGGCCACACGGGCAGCTGATTAGATGGTACCCACTTCGATTAAAGGTGGGTCTGCCTTTCCGAGCCCACTGGCTCAAATGTTAATCTCCTTTGGCAACAGCCTCACAGACACACCCAGGATCAATCCTTTGCATGCTTCAGTCCAATCAAGTTGACACTCAGTATTAACCATCACAAGTCCACCCCTTGTCAACTTGAATCCATACAAATCTCCTGAGATCATAAATAATCTTCAAATAAAGATAATAATAAGGTCATAATTACACCTAATGTAATACAACTATCTTTTGTACAACCAGAAATGCACCAATCCCCAATCCAAATGCTATTACGTAAAGTTAAGAACATTTAAATGCTGGTATGAAGTCAATAAATTTTATGTCACATGATAAAGGAAAAAAGAAACAAAATGAAGGAATTTTCTTAGTACAAGTGGATACATCCACAAAATGTTTTTAACAAAAGAAGAAGGAAATACTGATGACAATTATAGTCCTCATTTTGGTAACTGATCACGTGGTTGTAGCTGGTATTGATGACCACCTTCTTCTACTACCCATTCTGTATTCCCTTTGCCTTCAGCAAGCATCGCAGCGGGTCGTGGTTTTTTTCCTAGTGGAGTGACACAAACCTTCATCCCTCAAGGGTCTGGGCCATTCATAGTCCTGCCGGGATTGGGCTGTTATAGTCTCCCATTGACCTTAATGACAGGGCATGGGAATGCTAAGAGACGCCCTAATGGATCTCCTGTATTCCATACATACTCTTCCTTACCTCCATTGTGGAGTAATAGACTGATTGCATCTTGATAGTCCAGGTCAATCACCCAGCCAACACTGTAACTACCTTCGTAGCCTGTGGACTTAAAGGTAGGAGGGGCCCAAAGTTTTCAGGTGGCAATCTTAACTTCCCGTTTAATGGAATTATTGTTGTGTCTCCTGATGGCAGCATTATTCCCATTGGAACTAAGACCTCTAGGCCAACAGAATGTGATGTCATGGGAACAGGAAGCAAAAAATTTGCTAGTGGATCACTGGGGGCGATGGTGAATGGTGCCACTTCCACTTCCACCCTTGACTCCTGCATCCACGAGTTATGGCTATGGGAGAAGCAGGACCATATATTGGATGCTGATTCCGGGCATAGACGGCCTTCTGGAGAGCTTTGCCCCAGCCCTGCAAAGTATTGTCACCTAGTTGGCATTATAATTGTGACTTCGAAAGGCCATTCCATTTTTCTGTCAATCCAGCTGCTTCAGGATGATGGGGAACATGGTAAGACAAGTGAATCCCATGAGTATGAGCCCACTGCCACACTTCTTTAGCCATCAAGGGAGTGCCTTGGTCAGAGGCAATGCTATGTGGAATCCTGTGACAGTGGATAAGGCATTCCATGAGTCCACAGATGGTAGTCTTGGCAGAAGCATTGCATGTAGGATAGGCAAACCCATATCTGGAGTCAGTGTATATTTCAGTGAGGACAAACCTCTGCTCTTTCCAGGATGGAAGAGGTCCAATATAATCCAGCCTGCCACCAGGTAGCTGGCTGATCACCCTGAGGAATGGTGCCATTTGAGACACAGAGCCAAACCATATCACGCCACCCCAACCACTCCCAAATCTCATGTCCTCTTTGCATTTCAAAACCAATCATGCCTTCCCAACAGTACCCCAACATCTTAAATTATTTCAGCATTAACTCAAAAGTCCAAGTTCTAAGTCACATTGGAGACAAGGCAAGTCCCTTCCATCTATGAACCTGTAAAATGAAAAACAAGTCATTTATTTCCAAGAAACAATGGGGGTAGAGACATTAGATAAATGCTCCCATTTCAGATGGGAGAAATGGGCCAAAATAAAGGGGCTACAGGTCACATGCAAGCCCAAAAATCCAGTGGGGCAGTCATTAAATCTTAAAGCTCCCAAATAATCTCCTTTGACTCCATTTCTCACATTCAGGGCATGCTAATGCAAAGTGGGGGCTCCCACAACCTTGGGAAGCTCTCACCCTGTGACTTTGCAGGCTTTGCAGCTCTGATCCCGTGGTTGCTCTCATGGGCTTTGCAGAGTTCAGCCCTCCTGGCTACTCTCATTGAGTGCCTGCAGCTTTTCCAGGCGCACAGTGCAAGCTGTTAATGGATCTACCGTTCTGGGGTCTGAAGGATGGTGGCCCTCTTCTCACAGCCTCATTAGTCACTGTCCTCGGTGGGGACTCTGTGTGGGGGCTCCAACCCCCCATTTCCTTTCTGCACTGCCCCAGCAGAGGCTCTCCATGAGGGCTTTACCCCTGGAGCAGACTTCTGGCTGGACATCCAGTCATTTCTATAAATCCTCTGAGATCTAGGTGGAGGATCACAAAGCTGAACTCTTCTCTTCTGCACACCCATAAGCCCAACATCATGTGGAAGCCACCAAGGATTGGGGCTTGTACCCTCTGAAGCAATGGCCTGAGCTACACATTGGACTTTTTTAGCCACAGCTAGAGCTGGAGCAGCTGGGACGCAGGGCACCAAGTCCCAAGGCTCCACAGAGCAGCTGGGCCCTGCACCCAGCCCATGAAACCAGGTTTCCCTGATAGGCCTCCAGGCCTGTGATTGGAAGGGCTGCTGCAAAGATCTCTGACATGCCCTGGAAACATTTTCCCCATTGTCTTGGTTATTAATATTCATCTCCTCATTACTTATGCAAATTTTTGCAGCCAACTTGAATTTCTCCCTAGAAAATGTGTTTTTCTTTCCTATCACATGACCAGGCTGCAAATTTTCCAAACTTTGATGCTCTGTTTCCCTTTTAAACATAAGTTCCTAGTTCAAATCGTCTCTCTCAAGTGCAAAGTTCCACAGATTTCTAGGGCAGGGACAAAATTCCATCAAACTTTGTTTTATACATTTTAGAGAGGCATGAGACATCAATAAAATACATTTAAGAGATACATTTGTTTGGTCCAGAAAGGTAGAACAACTCAAAGTGAGGGCTTCCAGGCTATAGGTGAATTTAAACATTTTCTGGTTGACAATTGGTTGAGTTTGTCTAAAGACCTGAGATAGATAGAAAGGTAATGTTCAGGTTAAGATAAAGATTGTAGTGTCCAAAGTTCTTTTGAAGTCTTATAGTGGCTGCACTTAGAGACAATAGGTGACAAATGTTTCCTCTTCAGATCTTAGTTCATCTCTTTGGGATTGGGAGGTTCTAGAAGAAAAAGATCTGGCTATGCTGATAGAGATTCTTTACAGATGCAAATTTTCCCCCACAAAGAATGGCGTTGCAGAGCACTTTCTTTCTTTCTCTTTCTTTCTTTCTTTCTTTCTTTCTTTCTTTCTTTCTTTCTTTCGTTCGTTCGTTCGTTCTTTCTTTCTTTCTCTCTCTTTCTTTCTTTCTCTTTCTTTCTTTCTCTCTCTTTCTCCCTTTCTTTCTTTCTTCCTTTCTCTTTCTTTCTTTCTCTCTCTTTCTCCCTTTCTTTCTTTCTTCCTCTTTCTTTCTTTCTTTCTCTCTCTCTCCCTTTCTCTCTCTCTCTCTTTCTTTCTTTCTTTCTTTCTTTCTTTCTTTCTTTCTTTCTTTCTTTCTTTCTTTCTCTCTTTCTTTCTTTC